ATGAATTTCAGCGTGAACACGACTGATCATTAAAGGAGATATCACACTGTCAATGACAACATCTGAATGTTCATTACTGCGTCCGAGACGAGTGACAGTCGGTTTTAGCAAAATTTTTCCCGGTTGTAGAGATGGATCATAGCAATTCCCTTCGACCTTCTGCAGACAGAGCATTTTTCTCCTCTGTTTCAGTGTGCAAAAGCCTCTCATACCACTTCAAGATTCTTCTAGTGTTCTTGTACTCTACAGGCGGCCATTTTAACAGTGCGACGCGATATTCGGAAATCGTTTGCACAAGATCGGACAAGCTCGGGTGTAACTTCTCCTTAGCAAAATCAGGAATAAGGAAAAGGAAAACGGAAGTGAGGAATGTCGTTGTGCAGCATTTTGAAAGTTTGAATATACAGCAAATGTCGGTATAAATAGTTAATAAATTAGTAAATTCATCCAATTTCGGTTCTTGTGTTGCCGTTGTAACTTTCTATGGTATGTACACACGGATATAAAACACTGTATTCTCAAAGAGCACAATTCAACTAAGAGTCCTAAAACCAAATCCAAAGTGATCACAACTGCTGATCATCAAGCACTTTTTAATTAAGTACAGAAAAACCTGAACCAAAGTGGTCAAAAGTGACAATCAGAACAAAAGGTTACCATCATCATTAGCCAATGAGGACTCAGAGTAGAAACTGGCAACCTTCTTGAAGCGCGGGAAAACGCGGGCGACCAAATTGTGTTTGGTTTTAGTTTTACATCTGATTTGTTAAGATTGTGACATAGGTTTTCTGGACCAATCACACAACAAAGTAAAGCAAAACCAAAGTAATCCAGCATCACTTTCGATACTCAGTTGGAAACTGCTTTAATAAAGGAAATACAACAAAATGTCAAAGATAACTCAAAGAAAAAAAGCTGGCAAAAAGCCTAAAGAGCTGGAAATATACGAATGACCCAACTCTAACACTCGATCATGATAAGGCTCGTACCTGATTGGTCAGGAGGGCGGCATAGGCTCTCTAAACCAATAAGAGACTGAAGTCAAGCTAAACCAATGCCCATGACTATATCCATGACTACTTTCGACACTCAATTGAAAATTTCTTTTATAGTCTACAATATTACCATACGAAGACTGGTCCTAAAAGAATTCTGAACACGACTAATGCATAAGGCTCTAGATACTGACGCTGTATTACACTACTCGTTAGGTCTGATCTGGAGAGTTGTTTTCCTTTGGTTATCCAGGCATTCTCGTAGTTTATTCTCAGTCCTCGTCAGCCTTTGTCCCAAAATTGAAACCGTCTGCGACAAAAAATGGCTCAATGAATATGAAAATCTCTCCCCAACACCAAAAAATGTCGTAAAAAAGTCAAATATCATTGAGTTTAAGCGTAAGCTAATACATCTCCATGTTGCACGAAATCTTTGCCTCATCTCTGTACAACAAGAAAACTCATATGAGACTGTTCATGACCTTTTTCATGACGGGAGCCATGGACTTGATAGCTAATTGCTGTTTCAGAAATGAACCCATCTTGCGATCAGGTATTCTTTTTTCTAGGGGAAGGGGGGAGAGAGAATGAGCAACTGTAGTCTTTCCCTCCTATCTCCCCTCCCCCCCCTCCACGCACCTGATTCAACCTAAATAAATCTATGCTTCTTAAATACTGATAAAAAGGAATTAATAAAAATTGAGTCGGAAAGCCGTGGCCCCCGTTTCTAAGTCTTGTGTCTTGTTTAAGGAAGGGTGTTTTAAAATGGATATTGATTAATAGCTGATATGAGTAAACTTTTCGTCAGGCCACACCCTTTTGCTTCTTTCTCCCTAACATGGGTGCCCCTTCGACCCCTAGTATTCTCCCCAATAAAGAACAGTGTGATGGGGTCATTAACAGGAGTGTATCCCCCGTGCCCACCCCCAAGGTTCTTGGTTTCTAAAATAATTCCCTGTTCAGAAACGTTTCCACGACAAAAGACTGTGTAAGCAAATCCAGCTGGCCCACAATGTACTTCAGTGTCATGCTCAGTCGTAAAGGAATATCTCTACTTTATAGGGGTGTGGTGAGGGGAGGCTGTGTAGCTGGAATGCCTCCCAAACTATCAGCCTCCCCAGTCCTCCCTGTTACTTCATCTGATTTGCTCTGTCTCTGAAC